CGCCGCCGTTGCCGCCGCCGCTCTAGGCAGCCGCCAGCTCGGTGGGCTTAACCCTTCCCGGCCCGGCCACTCACCCGGGCGGGGGACAGGATGCGGGGGCCCTGCGTGCGTCCCGGGCTGTCCGGTGCCGAGCGCAGCGCGCGCTGTGCCGCATCCCTGGTGCGCGTGTCCGCGCGCCACGGTTGGCGACTGTCGCCGCACGGGTATGTGTGAAGGAGATCCCAGCCAGATCCAGCCACCCCCTGAAAGGCAGGCATAGCCCCAGGGTGCCTCGGCCGAGGTACAAATTATGGCTAATTAGTGCTTAATTAGATGACATTCAGTTAATCGGGAGGTCTCACCCCAGGGGAGTGGGCCCTGTAGAGGCCAACCTTGGACCTCTCCTTCTGGACTCCTGGGTTTGTGAGGGCAGCTGGACAGGAGGCATGCCAACCTGGTCAGTGGGCTGTGACCGGAATGGATGAAATGGGCTCCTCGGGCTCCCCTGGAGAACTGGCGGAGCGGAGCTTGTCCCTCTGCCCGCTGCCCCCCTTCCTCTGGCCACAGGCCTAGTGATCAGTCCCTCCCACCTCCTTGCCTCCTCCAGGACCCTCTCTCCAGCAGTGACTTCTCTTTCCAGACATGCCAATCTGCTCTCTGTCTGAGCCAGGGGTCTTGGATTTTTTCTGGCCATTTCAATATCCCGCCAGTTTGCTTTACTGTCCTGGGAATACAGACTTCACTAGTCTGGAGAAGTCACATTAAAACTAAGATGCTCAAATTTTGAAAAACTTAGCCATTGAGTTGGTCTGGTGGCGTATTGGCTAAGGCAGCTAGATCCCACATGTAATTGCAGTCCCAGATCCAGCAGTTTGAGAAACGTGCTGGGTGCATGTGCATGCGTGCCAACTCCAGAAAGAAGAGAAAGATGGAAAACAGATTGCAGTGTGACCTTTCCCCATGGGGAGGTGCTTTCTTTTCTTCCTCTCTGTGCATACACCCTCTAGGGAAAAAAAGAAAAAGAAAGACTCAAAGATCCGGCCATGGAGAGCTGCTCCTGGGATGGAGAAGGAAGACCTACTGGAGGGAGACAAGAGCCCTCTGGGGGTCACAGTCTTTCCTCTTTCCTCTCTCATTGCTCACTTCTGTTGCACAAGTGCTCCCCTCCCATGCCATTTTTGGGTTTCTTCCTGGCCCCACAAACCAGAGTTTGGGACTTCCTCCAGCCTTTCCACAAAAAGCCTGGACTTGGGTGGTTTCACTAAAGACCAGGAGCTCTGGAGGGTGGAGGGCCCTTCTGACCATGGCGGGAACAAGAGAAGCAACAAGTGTCTGGGTTCGGAGGCAGAGTAACCTGTGGTCCCAGGTAGCTTGAGGCGACTTGTTACCTTCCATCTGTGAAGTGGAAGCAGCAGTCTGCTAGCCAGGGGAATAAAGGCAAAGCGCACATGTACACCCTCCCCTTCCCTGGGAGGGCCCAGGAGCAGAGCCATCTCTTCCTACTTCTACCTCCTGAAAGATCTCACACCCTGAGATCTCTTGGGCTGTTCTCCATCTCCACATCCTTGGAGCTCGCCCATCTTAAAATCATGCAACCCGGGACCAGCAGGTGGTGTAGTTGTTAAGGTGCTGGACACTCCCACATGGCCGACCATGTTTTGAGCCCTGGACCTGGTGGCTTGCTTTCTCACCCTCTCTCTCTGTGTCTCTCTCTGGTCAAATTAAAAATAAATGAATAAATGAATAAAAATTAAATAAATAATTCTTAAAATAAAAAAATAAACATGCTATCCCATTTCTCTCTCCTTTCAAACTTCCTTTTGTCTTCATCTGCCCATACTTCCTTCCTCTCTCCAACCTGGCTTCTGTCCCATCACTCCACCAAGACAGTTCACCTTAATCTCACTGGTGACTTCCCAAGTCACTAAATCCCTTATCTTGTTTGACCTCTCATCTCATAGAATTGGTATGCATCACCCTAGTAGCACCTGGGTGTTTATCACTAACCAGGAAGCTCTCCCCAGACTTGGTCTCCAGAGTGATTATTGGGGATTCATTACCTAGGCATGACTGATAGAATCATTGATCATGTGAATAAATTCAATGTCCAGCCTCGCTCCATCCCCATTGGCCAGGCTGGCATCAGGTGGCCCAGCACCCCAATCCCAAGCACTTGGATGGTCTTTCTGGTCTGACCAGTCCCATTCTGAAGCTATTTAGGGGCCTACCATGAGTCATCTCACTAGCATAAATGGGAGGAGCCTATGAAGACTAACAAAGACATTCTGTCATGGAAAATTCCAGGGGTGTAGAAGCTCTATCCCAGGAGCCCAGGACAAAGACCAAATTCTTTAATGTAACAGCAAGATGAGAGGGAAAGTGCATGGTTTCAAGAGTTAAATCTTCAGTTTCTGAACTGGCAGTCAACAGATACCATCTGAAATGAGGGGGGAAAAATCAAGCACTAGCATTATAAGCATGCTATTTAAAAACATGGCAACAGATACCAGATATAAAGGAGGTAGACACAGAGACAAGGGGGGGCGGTATATGGGTTGTTGCTAAGAGCCTTTTAGAACTACTTGACTCATCTGACTAGGTATATATATTATCCTGATAAAAATAAAAGGGACAAATGGGGGCCCTTGTAGTAACGCAACCCTCTGCAAGGCTAACCCATTTAGAAAGGTCTAGGTTCATATCTTGTGACCTTCCTAAACACACCAGGCACATAGGGACTGATTGAAGCTAGGAGATCATCACATGATGTGAACAGTTTGTTGGGGGTACTATCTCTTTGTCTCTCCCTCTATTTCTGTGTCTCTCTGACTCATGAGAGAAAAAAATCTTCTTAAAAATATTAGAGGGGTTGGGACCAGCAGTTAGCATAATGGCTATGTCCCTGGACTCCCATGTAGTCGACCACGGTTCACGTCCCAGACCTGGTGGCTTAAAACTCACGCTGGGCGCATGTGCGTGCATGCCCAAGATCCCGAGAAGACAATGGAGGAGAAGGGACTGCAGTGTGGCCATCCCCCCTGGGGGGTGATTTCTTGCTTTCTGTCTGTCTCTCTCTGTCTGCCTGGCAAGTGCATGTGCACTATAGCAAAAACCTCTAAAAAAAAAAGATTAAAAAAAATGAGAGGGGAATGGATGTGTAGCTATGATAAAGTGGCCTTGTAAATAGTAATGTCTGCACAGATGCCATGATTGGAGATGATGGATGAAGATTGAATAATCAAAGAAGTCCTGGATAAGTTTGTTAATTGTCATGAGCAAACATATGAAGAATTTCTGAGCACTTTTATTCATCTTTCTAAAGAGGATGTGACCAGTAGGGGACCACTTAGAACTAATTTTGCCAAAAGCATATTAACCTCTGTAAAATGTACTCTTTGAAACAAACCAAATGACTACCATCTTAGAAATTCTTCATACCAGCAGGTGGTGTGGTGGTTAAGGGCTCTGGACTTCCACATGACTGACTGTGGTTGCAGTCCTAGACTTGGCAGCTCGCTTTCTCATTTTCTCTTTCTCTCTCATTCTGTCCCTCTCTGGTAAAATTTAAATAAGTAAGTAAATAAATAAATAGAAATAAAAGAATTCTTAAAAAAAAAAGAAAGAAAACCATCTTTCTTCATACTTCATCAAATGTTCAGAAGAACAGATAATGATAGATGAAGGGCAAAAAGTTGGCAGGTCCTGAATTGGGCAGGAAAGGTGAAGATAGACAATTTCCTAGACTTAGAAGATTTGGATATGGACTCAGTGAAGAGATTAAGCCCCAAATAAGCAAGGATTTACTGCTTTCAGGAAAAGTGGAGGAGGAAGGAAGCAAGCGCACGCGCCCTACAGTGAAAATCTCTCCAAAAAAAAAAAAATTAAAAAAAAAATGTTCAGAAGAACAGATAATGATAGATGAAGGGCAAAAAGTTGGCAGGTCCTGAATTGGGCAGGAAAGGTGAAGGTAGACAATTTCCTAGACTTAGAAGATTTGGATATGGACTCAGTGAAGAGATTAAGCCCCAAATAAGCAAGGATTTGCTGCTTTCAGGAAAAGTGGAGGAGGAAGGAAGCACCTTCATTCCTTCTTGTATTCTTCCGGTGGCCCAGTCTCTCGGCCCTGAAGTGAAGCAAAAACCCACTGTAAAAGGAACAAGCAAGAAGAGACTCTTGGAGATTAAGTTTAGCCCTTCTCATTTGATGAGGAACTTGACTGACACTGTGAGGCTAGCCCCCAAGCTCCCTCCTGCAGAGATGGAAATGGTCAAAGAGCTCTCCAAGCAAAGGGGGAAGAACACAGACCCAGAGCAACCTTGTGACTAACTCACTGAGGCATCTCTGTGTTTATTTCTGTTTTGTTCTTATTTAAGCACCTTTAGAATAAAAGAGAAATCGGCCATTAAAAAAAAAATAGAGGGAAAAATAGGAAGAAAAACTTGGCTATTGAGTCTGGTGCTCAGGTATGGACAGGAGAAATACTCATAGGGAGAAAACTTGATTTCAGAGGATCCTTACTGCACATTTTAAGTATTGCAATAGGAAACAGCCCATGAGGGATCAGAGAAGGGGCAGATCCAGCAAAAGAGGAAAGGTGTTTCTTTGCAGTATGGAAGATGTGTCCAATGCTACCTAGCGGCTAAAGAAATAAAAATGTCATATTACAAATATGGAGATAACAATTTAAGTGACTGTGAATTTCTCATCAGAAACAGTGGAATCGGGGTTTCATTCACTCAGATTGGGTCATGTATCCCCACTAATGTCAGAACCTCAGGGATAACATCAGGATGTTCTCAGCAGAAGGAAAGAGAAGCTGGATTTTGGGCAGACAAAACAACAGAGGGCCTTTATAACTAAAATATATCATTTTTATTTATGATCTCTTTACATAAGTGAGACCATGATA